GTACGACCTTTCATTCGGTCTTCAACAAGTCTTGTCCTACGTTGACTTCTGTAGTGAGGACTGATGATGATGATGTGTTGTGTAGGTACAAGGTGTCCGCGTCCCCGCTGTCCAAGCAGCTGCCCTCCCTGGTGTTGTTCCAGGGCGGGAAGGAGGTGATGCGCCGCCCCCAGGTGGACAAGAAGGGAAGAGCCGTGTCCTGGAGCTTCACTGAGGTCAGGCTTATCATGTTGTCAATACAATGTATATGAATAACTCTGTGGTGTTCTCAGTTAAAGCTGCCAACCAGCCACATGTGGGACAAAGAGTATGCTACTGCAATGATAAGAGCTGGTTTATATTTAAATATAATGTCCATCCAACCCTTAAAAATAAACATTTCTATTGAAACTATTAGCTTATAAATATTGACAACAAAGCTTTATTATGGGTTAATTGTCTGCACAAACTATGCAAGTGAAGGAATTAAATATACTTAGTTTGAATGGAAATATTTTCTGACAAACTATCGTCCGTAAATATTTCGATGCGATCTGAGTCTGGAAAAATGAGCGCAGCCGCTTACTGCCCAGCCTGCTGACCTGTCTGCATAGAATGGCAAAGCCGCTCTTACCAGAGGCCTGTACTACGAAGCCGGTTCAACAGACCCAGGATATGTTTGAGTTACCCGGCTTACCTAACCCAAAACAAACGCGCTCTCGCTAAGCGGTCCTACGACGCTGGTTATCAACTCGGTAACTCAAGCCAGGGTTTCTCTGTCCGGCTGAGTGCGCGTTCACATGAAAGGGGCGGGGCTAGCAACATTTGACCAATCACAAACATGGAGAAGCGTACTGACAGCGCAGCGTCATACTTCCTGAATGAAAAGTGAACTTTAATATTAGACAAATATGAAGACGTTAAACTTTATTAACATCCATGACTTAAACACTTTATCCAGGATAAAAGCCACATAGCTGCACCTGCAAGGTGAATACAGCAGGTAACAGAAAAAGTGTTTGAATGCGTACATTAACAGGTTTATGATATCACTGCCCCGTCTAAGACACGAGTGGATCTGACTTTAATTACATTTCACTCAAGTGTTTCGTCAACTTAATGTGTTGCTTAAAATAATACTTATGCATACAGTATGTGACACTGTGAGTGTTGCACGGCCAGATACGGCTCAGCTGACTCAGATAAGGAAATATATGATACATTATGATGTGATATGAATGATAATGGGACACATCGACGTCTGCACTCAGTGCCGCGGACTGTTACTTTGATCCGGTTACTTATGTTGTGGCAGATATTTAAGTAAGCTTTCTTAACGCTAATGTTATAATAGTCAGATTGCTCTGAAGATGGGAGGTGATATTCTATTCATTTTCACGTCAGGTAGAGACCGGTCTCCAGTCAGCACCGCTGCAGACTCGCTGTTTGAGGGCTTGATAGTTTGGGATTGGGCCACAGTAACTGTTTAAAGTCACTTCAGCCCACTGTCGTTCAGATTTTCAAACCTCTGGTCGCTGTGTGTCTGTGTGCACGCCGCAAGTGGATCAACAATGACCTCATCTGCAATCAGACCTTGTTGCTTTGTGTAGTGAGGAGGGCTGCCCTCCACTGAAGAGTGTTGTAGTCCACAAATGGTCATCAATTCATCAAATATAATGTGAAACTGTAATAGACAGCCTTTGATATATAAACAACACACACACACCGAGCATTTAGTTGATTTATTCTATTTATCATCACACACAACTTGTGGATGTGTAATTGAGTTGTAACACCAATAAAATAAACAAATGCTTTCTTTAAAAAAGTGATAATAAACATTACCGTTTATATTTCAAATGTAAATAAATATAAGCCAATATATAAAACACAGCAGTAAAACAATGTTACCGTAGAAAAGAGGACACAAAGATATGTCATATCTAAAAGGTAGTATCAGTAAAGGTTTACAAATGCTGCTCAAGCTTAATACATTCATCAAAAGCAAAGTATAAAGTTGAGTTTGACCCCCCCCCCTCCCTCTCTGTCTCCCCAGGAGAACATCATCCGAGAGTTCAACCTGAACGAGCTCTACCAGAAATCCAAGAAGCTCAACAAGAGCAAAGGAGACAAGCTCATGCAGTCCAAGTTCCCCCCCGTCCCCGAAGAGGACGAGCCCGAGCAGCCTGGGACCCCCGCTGAGGAGGGCGTGGTTGAGTCCAAGAAGGACAAATAAGATGGATTGTACCACTCAGCTTGAGTTCCCCCCTGTCCCCTCAGTGTTCAGGTGTGGATCATGGTGTGCATGAAAACAGCCACAGTAGCCCCCGCCTCTTTAACACTAGACCCCCATATAACCCCCGATACAGCAGCTCTATAAAGATACAGAGCTGCAGAGGAGACTAGTTTCTGGGGGGGTGCTAAAACCTGCTCCAGTATATTTCATTGTAAGCCCCCCCCCCCTGTGTGAGGGTTGAAGGGATGCTCTGGCTCTGTCCCTTTATAGCTGTGAATCTGAGTGAGGCGGGACTTCTTACTAACTGGCAGTAAGGAAGCACAGAATGTGATGCTACTTTGTTGTTCTACATTTGTATTCAACTAATTTAATTAGAGTAGATTTTTGATGATTTTCTGAATAACTGTACATTAATGTAAACACAAACAATACATTTCCAGTGATTGGAGCGCTGGTTACACGTTAACATGAGTCGGGTGGTGACGGAACTCAGAACCAGCTGTTGCTTTGTATTCGGTGTACAAGCGTTCTCTTTTATACTGATGTTTTTTACTTTTCTTTTGCCAACAAGCTCACCTTTATTTTTCTGTTGTTAGTTATACGCGCTCAGTGGTACTCCGTGTTCTACAGTTTATCGCTTTGGTTACAATAACTGTTCTAAATGACTATTGTTTTGTTGACAACATCCTCAGGATGAAAAGCAGCATAACTGAACAGTTTTCCTCTGGGAGATGCTATTATGGTCGGTCTCTCCGGCACCGTCATGCTGCTGTGTGCACAGAGACTGTCCTGCACACTGATTGGCTGAATCCTGATACTGTTGTCAGGTTAGCATCATGATGTATTTGTGCAGTCTGTTCCTAATAACACACTTCCTCTTTACTCTAGATTTATTTCACATAATTTCCCGCTAACATTCCTCATCATGATTTTGAGCTTTTTTCCTCTTGTAGTAAACTGTTAACATACGCATACAGGAAGTGTTTGAATGAGCTTTTTGAGACACTGTGACTTTATTCCTTAATCATTTTTTAATAATTTTGTATTGTACGCTTATTGTGATTTTGATTTGACCTTTTGTCATGTTGCATTTCATTTGAGCTGCATTCCAAGGCTGTGTGAATCTGCTGCTGTATATGAAGGGAGGAGCCTGTTTGTTTTTCATGCAATAAAACAATGTGTACATGAACTAAGCCTCCATTATTCATACACATAGGTTCAGTTTGTTCCTATGTGTGTGTCATTACACTCGGGGAGACACACACCTGTCCACAGGAGTCCAATACAGCAGACTGTTTCATTGCACACTGATGTACTGTAGCACAGTTTTGAGGTAAATATTGTACTTTTTTTTTTAAACTAAAAGAGCTTTACAAAAAACTAACAATGAAAGATGTTTGGAGTTTTATTTGAGTTATTAATTTAAATGTTTTGTGTAAGAGATGCTGATTTGAAACCGTTGTTACATACAGTTATGGCATTTCCTGTTTCTGCCAGAGAGAGGGGAGGCCGTCCCAAAGCTTGCTGCTGTATTTACTCCCTCCATCTGACAGGAGGGAGCCTCGTTGAGCTGCGAGTGTGGCTACAGACGGAGTTCACTCCGTCACGGAGGGGTAGGGTCGAGGGACTGGTTTGGGATTGGGCCAAAATGTTGTATTCTTTTTACAACAAGGAACTGACCATAAATGCTCTTTGAGTGAGGAGGAGACAAAGGAGATTGTGCCAAACAAAATTAATTAGTATAACAAAACCAGGCCTATCTCTACATCTGTCCTCTGAAACAAAAACCCTCACTATCTGAACTACTAACAACTGGACAAAGCAAAATACAGGGGTGACAACAATCCACTAACCTAGTGTGTCTAACATTTGTTACCTACGTGATGAAATGTAAGGGTACCCCAATACCTAACTCCTCCACCTCCCACCACACACATTCACAAAGGTAGTGGCGAGTGACACGAGTAGATTTTAGCCGAGACCGGCAGAAAGTTTGTCTCAAAAATATTTGAGATCCACAAGCAGAGACTTGAGATCCAGGAGCAGAAATTTGAGATCCACCAGCAGAGACTTGAGATCCACGAGCAGAAATGTGAGATCCACGAGCAGAGATTTGAGATCCACGAGCAGAGATTTGAGATCCACAAGCGCATTTTTGGTCGACAAATACAAAATGGATTCACAAATGCCTGATCGAAAGTTGTAAATGTTAAAGAGATATTCAAAGATCTTTTATTTATTTGTAAAAATATTTGGCGTATTTGCAGATCCGTTTTACATTTGCGCATTTATTTGTGAGTTTGCAAATCTTTTAAATGCATTTGTGGATGGTGTTTTACATTTACAAATCACATATTTACACACATTATTTTTATGTTCACACAAATAATTATGAGACATATCTAAGCCGGTAGCGTATGCAGACATTTCATTTCATTTTCTGCATGAGCAAACCCCATTTCTGCTTCTGCTGGTGGTGGTTCCCACGGCTGACGGCCGCTATCCACCTGCTGTTGGAGGCCTACTCCCACCTGTTGGGTGCTACTGTGCGGGGGAGGCCTGGTCTCGAGATAACGCGGAGAAACCGGAGTGTTGCCACACTGCTGCTTGCCTATTTCCTTGCTGCTGTCCTGACGTGGTTTTGCTTCGGGAACATCGTGGATGCTGTTGAGCTGGACTGGGAAAATGGCAAATGTCGTGTTTCTGC